AAATACAGTTCTTATGGCTTTGATTCGCACACTTATTGTGCAAACTACATATTTTGAGCAAAATTGTAGAAGTGAATGTATCCCAATCAAGATTTAACGAAATTATTTCAAATAAATTGACAGTTAGACGACCTGTTTATAATGATGATATATTAATAGATTTATAATATCCCAAAGAGTAGAAATTAAAATTCCTGGCGTTTTGCAACCTAGTATGAATTACTTCTTCAGGGAATAAATAATCTTCTCTGATTGATACAAGTTTGGTGGCATTAAGAAAATTCTTTTATTGGGTTTGTTTATACTAAGTAGACATTTAAAAGACCTACTTCGTTACATATTTTTTTTTACAAAGGAAGTTATACTAGGCCACGAGACATCAGAAATCTAGTTTCTTACTTAATCGGGATATTATTAAAGTCTTGGCATCATTAATGCAGTTCCTGGTAGTAAACATAATTCGGCCATATCATAGGACGACATGGACTAGGATAGAGAAATGAAATTGGGTAGAGATTTGCAAACCTATGTGCATTCAAAAAATTACATACATAATGCATACATAAAGCTATATGGAGCTCGCCTGACCACACCACAGAAAACCAGATCATATTTGTGTTAACAAAAAATTCCGAAGGACAATGGAATATGTGAGAACCAGGGGATGAGCTAACACAGCTTCAAATCAACACCTGGCTCTGCTCAAGATGAAACTGAAGCTAAAGAAGCATTGGACAACTGGGGAAGCAGCATTACAAATTTCAATACAGCCTTTCTTCGAAATACGAACAAACTCAACCAATTCAAGATTACTCTCAACTACATGTTTCGAGCTTTATAGGATCTACTGAAAGAATAAACTACTCTGAAGGACAACTAGAAAGAGATAAAAGAATCACTAACTTCAACGTATCAGGAGGTTTGCTTCTCGGTCACAAGAAGCATCATAAGGAACGGATCTCTATGGGAACCTTGGACAAGATTCAAGAAAGGGAGAACAAAAAGACAGCAATTAGCAACAATCGAACACGATCAGAAAAATTCAAGGCACAAGCAGAGTACACAAAAGCAAACAAGCAAGTGAAGAAGAGCATTAAAGCCGAAAAACAGAAATACATGGAAGGACTAGCAACGACGGCGGAAAATGTGATAGAGAAAGGAATATTTTACAACTATATGAAGCAACAAAGAAACTAGCAGGGTGATATAGTCAACCGGAGAGACCACTCAAGGACAAAGAAGGCAAACCAATCACTGAAATTTAAGAACAGAAGAGAAGTTGGGTAGAATACTTGGAGGAACTGCTGAATAGACCAACCCCATTGAATCCACCGGACATCACAGCATCACATACAAACTTTCCTATAGATGTCACTCCACCAACGATCGTAGAAGTCAAGATGGCCATCAGACAAATCAAAAGTGGGAAGGCGGCAGGACCTGACAATATACTAGCTGAAACACTGAAGTCAGACATTGAAGTAACTGAAAACATTCTTCAATTTTCTATTCAAGAAGAGTTGGGTGGAGAAACAAGTGCCGACGGACTGGAAAGAAGTATACCTCATCAAGATACCAAAGAAGGGGGATCTGAGCAAATGTGAGAATTACAGAGGCATCAGTTTGTCGTCAGTACCAGGGAAAGTTTTCAACATAGTGTTGCTGAACCGGATGGAAGACGCAATAGATGCCCAACTTCGAAATCAACAGACTGCATTCCGTAATGATCTGTCGTGTACAGACCGAATCGCGACACCACGGATCATCATCGAACAATCAGTTGAGTGGAATTCGTCACTATAAATCAATTTCATTGAATATGAGAAGGCATTTGACAGTGTAAACAGGAGAAAATTATGGAAGCTTCTTAGACGTTATGGAGTTCCTGAGTAGATTGTCAACACTATCCAGAACTCATACGACGGACTATAGTGGGAAGTCGTGCATGGAGGACAGCTGACAAATGCATTCCCAGCAAGGACTGAGATCAGACAAGGCTGTCTACTCTCCCCTTCCTCTTTATTCTGGTGATTGACCGGATTATGAAGACCTCAACGTCTAAGGGGAAGCACAAAATACAATGGACATTTCAGAATCAATTAAACTATTTGGACTTCGCAGATGACCTAGCGCCCCTATCCCATTCACACGAACAAATATAGACGAAGACAACCAATGTAGCAGTAGCCTTTGCATCAATAGGCCTCAACATACACAAAAGAAAAAGCAAGATCCTCAAATATAACACGGAGATCGCCAAGTCAATCACACTTGATGAAGAAACTCTGGAAGATGTGGAAACATTCATATACCTGGGAAGCAAGGACCGCATTTCTATAATTGAACACATTTGTGACTCAAAACAACTGCCAACTAGTTTCAACGTGTGAATCTTTAATACGAACACCTACTGTACATTCATAGTCAAGAAGGTACAAGTATTCATAAATAGTTGTCTACGCAAAATACTCAACATTCACTGGCCGGATACCATCAGCAACAACGTTTTATGGGAGAAAACAAACCAGGTTACAAAAAAAGACGAAATTAGCAAAAGACGTTGGAAGTGGATTGGACATACATTAAGGAAATCACCAAACTGCATCACGAGGCAAGCCCCAACTTGGAATCCTGAAGGGAAGCAGAAAAGAGGAAGGCCAAAGAACACATTACTCCGGGAAATTAAAGCAGATATGAAAAGGATGGATGGTTACTGGAAAGAACTAGAAGGGATTGCCCAGGACTGGTTTGGATGAAGAGTGCTGGTGGGAGGCCTATGCTCCTCCGCAAGGGGTAACAGGCGTAAGGAAGTAAGTATGACTATTAAAGCGGTAAACAGGTCTATCAATTATTCTAAAACGATGCTAATTTGTGAGTTCCCTTGAAGTCAGCCAGTTATGTTTCTTAAACTTTGTATGAACAATTATGTTTTATTTTGAGCTGTTAATAAGGACACATATCAATTAAATTTTACTTATTCCCTTATATTATCCAGTTAATTTGATATTTTGCAGCTCTATAAAATGTAATGAACTATTCTATCTAGCTTTCATTGTATACTAAGTATATTCCTACTGTTTTCCTACAGTCAAACTATTTATAGTCATCTGAACAATAAACTGACTGTCAGAACGTCTGTACATATTCAAGATTCTCATCAGCAGAAGAGGGTAGCAGTTGTCGTAGTTTCCCATCGTCTATACAGTTCTTATGGGCCCAGCTAAAACTTGTGGTTGGCTTGAAAAAAGCTGTTTTTTGTTCAATATAATATCTTTAGAAACAGCCCTCAACATTCGCTGATATTCACAGGACATTTCCCTCATTTTTCACCTGAATTTGATGTAATTCGTCTCGTTTATGTATTCACTGCACAGATCATCCATATAATGGTTTAATGAATCTGTGAAAGACAATCTCGATGAAACTATCATTAGAAGACGTTGAAGTATTTACAGCCTCACAAACTAAAAAAGTGGTTTGTTGATGAAGCATAACTAATTCAATATTAGAGTAATTATTTTGGGAATTATTGAATCGAAATATCATCAAAAGCCTTGACGTTAATTTTATAACAGAGGCTTCCCTTGCTTATGATTTCCAACCCAATGACCTTAAAAGAAAGTGCTCAATATGTAAACCATGTTAGGGATTATTAAAAAAGAGCTTTATACACAAATGTCTCTACTATTCGGATTATCCTGTCTTTGGGAATACTCAGAATTATTAAACTAGATCTGAGATTACAACACGTTAGTATTTTAGGTCCGAAGTAATGTGAACAAACGTTTTCCATGATCAAAGAATTTTTCCAGTTAAGTATTCAAAAAGTACCTGACTCAACGACTGTAAATTTGAAATATCTACATTATAATTAATCATTTGTTAGTGAATTATCTCATGTTGCTCAATTCCTGGTGTTAAACAAACTATAAAAGTAGAATATAACATTGTATTTAAATAAATATTTACGCGTCATTGAACCTGTTTTTCGCAATTCAACGAATTTTTTCAAAGAGCATCATGAAGAAAACGAGATATGATATGTGTCCGTGAATCAGAAGCGCATCCGTGTTCAATATGGATGTGGTATCAAGCATTTTCGGGCGTCAGGCCATTAAGACGCTGATAATTTGACTTAACCTTGTTAACAGATATGGACTACCTGGTTTGGGATCACATGATGATCGTAATCAATAATTAGGGACTTTGTATAATATCGCAAAAAATCGTTCTCATTGGTTCAGGTGCATCCATTCTTTGTATTCCCACAAATTCTGCTATTCTAAATTTCTCATACCTATATCTGGTTTTGACTTCGCCATTTTATATTTTCTTGAATCGTATTGTGCTACTTATTTAGACATGAGTAGTATACAACGGTAGTCAGGAAAGAACGGAAACAGAAAGCAATTGGTATGAAAATGCAGGGACAGCGAAATCTAAGACGATTGACTGATATTTGCAAAAGGAATGGTCAAGTTTGAGACAATTGATTGACATTCTGCAAAATAGGTATTACTGTATGGTTCTCAGATTTTACTAAAGCGTACTGTAATTTTGTGTTCAAATGCATTCGATTGACCCCACTGGTGTTCTCGTTCACTACAGTTATTAACTCTACTAGTCTTAGATTTGATCTGAAAACTTCAACTCCCTGTGGTAACAGGTTATTGCAACTTTAGCCGGTGTACATACATACCTGGTTCTACATTATCACTGACTGACTAACTTTCACTTCATTTGATTTTTTCATCCGGCAATTCAGTATGCACTACATTGGCATATCAATCTATATAGCTTTATGTAAATGAAATGAAATCACTCGTAAAAATCGTGATTTATGATTGTGTCTTAACTTACTTAATGAACAGAAGATTGTTCGAAATGCTAGGTATTTTACCTTCAGTGAACATTGGAAAAAAGGATGATCTACCTGACATACCAAAGATTATTAGCATTATAGTTAATAGTTTTTTACAAAATTCTGTTTACTTACCTACCTAATAATGATTTTAATTCATTTTGATCAGGTGTAAAATTTCGTTGCCAAAATGATCGCCCAAAATTACATCCACGTTGTGAAAATACTGAACGAAATGTAGATGAAGTATTATTATTCCATGTATGAGGTGGTAAGCTCAAACTATGACTGTTATTTATATAATTACAGCTAATAGGATGTTCACTTTGTGCTCGGTGAATTAATCGTTGTTGATGTAATTTTTGAATTAAATAATTACTATCCATAACATTATCATTTAGTGCATTTATTAATCGATTATGTTGTACAGGTAATTTTTTCTTCTGTTGTCTAATTTCTTTTATTAATTCATCAACTGAAATATTACTGTTCAGTTTCCCATTCGTAGTTTTACTTATATCTGTCACACTGACCGTATTTGATTGTTTTAATTGTTGTTTGCTTGAGAAATTTGGTTTAGTTCGTGTAATAATTGGTGGGTTTGTAGTTTCATGCGAAATAGTATAAATTCCTTCTTTATTCACTGGTTTTTTTATTGATGGATTATTCATGAGTATAGGAAAATTCCTTGACTGTGATATACTGTGTTTATTGTTAAACTTATGTTCAGTTGAAGCGTCATTATTATAAATTGTTGATTGTGACGATATGTTATTGGTATCAGAAGGATGTAAAGACAAAAATTCATTCAGTGTAAGACCTTCTGAACGTAGTACAAACATATTTTCTTTATTAATTAATCAATTTTATTCATTTACTGTTGAAAATTTGTTTTGGGAAAAACAAACAATGATAAAAGAATTTCAATGAGTTAAAAATCGAAATGAAAAAATTTTTAAAAATATCTGAAACACCAAGTTAAATATCTATTCCTTAAGTTACCTAACTTGAAACGTAACAAACAATATGAATTTTCTAGAAATCAAATATAGTTTCAGATTACAGAAAAGTTAATCAAATTCGTTCTTCAAAGGACAAGTTGAGCAAAGGAATATTTATTTTTAATTAGTTCTTCATCAGAGCCTCACACTAATATTTAGATTTTCAAAATGAGTCTAAAGTCGATATCGAATAAACGGTGGCACGTCATTTTAACAACGTAATAATCACTTACGCAACGTCTGTAAAATTAAAGTTAAAACTAGGTTGACTTTTCATATTTAATTAATTATCACAAGTAGTCATATAAGAGTATGAATAGAAGTTGATGTATTTTATAAACAACTTTAAACTCTGGAGTTCTATCTATGTGATGATCGGTAATGTCTAGATGTCCTCAGAATGCAGCTTCTTACTACTTAATGTTTGACAAAATTTCGGATCCTATCCGAAGACGTTTATCTAAGTATTCTCTCAAGGGTTCTTTTGAATTGGTCGGGCATTTAGATGATAATAATATCAAAGGAAAGACAATATGTTCATTGGACGTGAATTCCCTGTTGAAAAATCTACATTTGAAAATGACTATTGATGTATTACGTGACTACATATCTTTGAACAACCTTAAATTACCTGTTTCTTTAAAAATCCTTAAAGATTTACAAACATTATGTACTGATAAAGTCCAGTTCACATTTGAATGTGAATACTTTTGCCAGATAGATAGGGTCGATATGGTTTGTTCGTTAGGACCATTATTAGCATGTGTGTTCATAACACATGTTGAAAATCTAGCTGAAGACCTAATCGAAAACACTTCTCTTTATAAGAGATATGTGGATGATATCTTAGTTATCTGTGAAAGAAAGGACGATATGAATTGCTTATTGATTAAGCTTAACACTCTCCGAAACCACATCAGTCTTCATGCGAAGAAGAAAAGAACGACCAGCTCTCTTTTTTACATATACTTATAAGTAGACGAGAAGACGGTTCAATTTAAACTATCGATTTTTAGAAAACTAACTTGGATAGGTCCATATTATAGTTGCTGCCCATCGCAATACAAATGGGGTTTAATAAGGAACCTAAACACTTATTCTTATTGAACTAACAGTCCCTCCTGTCAATAGGATTTGTAGCATGTTTCTTTTTCCTTTGTGAAAGTAATTGGCTGTTGGTTTCTACTAAATGATTTTAGTAGACTTTGAGCTTGCTATTGTTTTTTGCAACTAATAGTGTATCATCCATATAGCGACAATAAAATTCTAGTTTATCTGTCACATCTTTTAGAGGATCGTTTTCTAATTTTGTCAGCGAGAAATCAGCTATTATTGGATTTAATGATGGTCTCATAACGTCACTATCACGTTGTCCATCGAGTTCTTTATAAAACAAGAAGCGCATATTCATAGTTCATCTGACTATTAATTTCTTTACAGAGGAGATGGAAATAATAATTTTTATCTTTCGATTTTGTAATTCACGAGCCATAAACTCTAGATATCACCGTAACCATGCGTCTTATTTTTGTGTATAAGTCCCGGGAGATAGCACCAGCTTGTTTCAGACTTTCTAACGATCGGGTCAACTGTCGTTCAGCCTTTTCTGTGGATTCGTTCTTTTGACCTTTAAACAGTACATAAAACTGGTCTGCCATTTCACCAAGTCCTAGATATAGTCAGTTCGCTATATAATGCAGCTCAAAAATATCTAGTTGAAATTCTAAAGCTACTACACCAAGACATCGTCCAGTACAATATAAGAGATCATTTTGAATTCGTTGGCAGAATTCGAGATTTGAAGGTGCACTGGAAATTCATGATATAACTTGATGTATCCCCTATGTTTAAAGGCGTGCCTATCATAGAAACTGAGGATTTCATATGTAATGAGTTACAAAATCGAGTAATGGAAATTAGGATTCTCATCTCCTCTCTAAATGAATTTCTGCTCAAATGTACTATGAATATATAATTTTGTTTTACCAATAACTCTATGTACAGTTTGATGTGCTATGAGATCACCATTAGGTCACATCATATATACATACATATATATTAGTGTAGAGACCTGATGATGGACTAAATGAAAAAAATTTCCTTGTTAAAGTTGTCTTTCTATTATCTCAATCCCAATTCTTCATGAATTAAAATATGTTTTTCTTAGTAATTAAATTTGATAATGGTAGATATTATTCCTGTCAGAATGTATTCGTTTAATCCAACTTCTCAAAAATATCCACCTAACGCTAAAATGCTGGTTGAAAAGCCTCTGGAATCATATGGAAAAATTGATTGATAAGTGTGTTATTCATTATCAAGGATTTTCAGTTTCCAATACTTTCTCAATGATCATTTAATGAGGATATCTCAGTCCTACAGAAAGTCAACCATCGCCTGACTTACTCGATGGCAATATCTACGACCGTGTGACAAAATGGTATAATTTTGATGCATTTGGAATCATCACTACACTAATGATTGAAGATTCGCAAAAATTAATAGTTTCGGATAAGATGAAAATAAGATTACAGCACCTCTCCTACACTTAGTTGGTTGGTTTGCGTTCAATTTTGTCAAGCCCTTCAATTAACTTGTTTAACAGATAGAGTCATTAGAACAGTAACAGTTTTTATGTCTTGATATTATTAGTATATCTGTATGAACACGTATGCGTAATCATATGTGACAGCCTGCACACATATCCATCTTTCCAGCTTTAATATCGGTTGCTTAAATTGCTCGACAAACAATTCACTTTCCCATATATATCTACAACCTTGAATCATATTAATTGATTCGACTCTCCATTCACTTCACCATTTGACACTCAATTTGCCTCTGTATTCGTTCGCTCACATTAGTATTTGTTCTCGAATTAGATTGGTTCACTTGTGGCTAAGTGATTTGTGTTATCCAATAATAAACAGTCGTCTGCTCTTCGTGTTGCCTCCTGAATTCATATGCCGTTGGGATTTATTTAATAAGAGTTATCAGGACGATTAATGTACAAAGCTCAATGAATTATCTCGAAGCTAATCCAGTACACGATTAAGTATGTTCTGTCGTCTAACGCAGTTCTGAAAATTCCATCGAAATGCATTTTGATTCCAATTAAGTTCAGTTAAATTTATATATGAAAACAATGAGTTTAAACCGATGATATAAAGTTGATATGACGTAAGTAGGATGAAAACGCTACATTTAACACAATCGGATCTTTGCAATTGTCTTCAATAGTTCTTTCGTTCTTCATTTTGACAGATTATTTCGGAAACCATGAGATTTTGTTCGTATCCACGAATGTATCCAGCGTTTTATACTTTGTAACTTAGTATTATTTCAACTATACTTTTTTAATAGACGTCAAATTCTCAAACAAACTAATCTGATGTGATTGTATCAAAATCAGTACGGTGGAGTGGTAGATCCTTCCTGACGATTTTTATCTTCAAATGGTGAATAATAACTTTATTGTAGAATTCACTAGTAGACTAATGCAATACAAAATCATTTTGATAAATTTAAAGACGATCATTTACTTACTAACTTTACGGGAAATGGGCACATTTTTAAACATAATTTATTAGAGGGTGATTACAAACAAAGGAGTACCAAAAAACAACCAATACAAACGAATCAAACTTCACTTGATTGCACAAGGTAGTGACTATCTAGAGTAAGTGGATAACGTGATGGCGTTTGAAGCGAAAGGTGCTGAGTTCAAGTCCTAGAGTGTACATCAACTTTGAGATGCAGGTACATCCAGTCGCCGAATCCCAGATAGGACGAAACGTGCGTCCTGGATTTCAGTGCTAGCCACCATTCATCTCTGTTTCCAGCATCAATAACTGTTTTATCTAAGTTAAAGATTGTATTTTTAACAGTAGACGTCAAGTAAGGGAACAGCTTTGGAGTTAGATGAATAGTACTAAATATAAAAGTATCAAATACTAACAAACTACTTTCATGTCTTCATTAAAAAAGTGTTTATAACATAAGATTAAGCGTGATTGACTATGTACTGGTAAGATAAGTAAAAATATTCTGAATGGTTATTATGTGAACAAACCCAATACTTGATAATATTCCTATCTCAGATTTTTGTCATGACTTTCATATACCTATGATTTATTAAAACAGATCATATATATATATGCATGAAAATGTAGTTTGTTTAGTCTATCGTCTTGTTTTGTTTAGCTTTTTATTGATGCTATAAAATTGTTTTTGTTTAGACCAGGCGAAAGATATCATTTTATAAAAATTTATATTTCTATCCAAGAAACACCGTTCATCTAAATTCATTTCATGATCATATCTGATATTGATTGGTTGGAGAAATAATTTCATAATATAATTGATTGATGTTATGTAATTGTCATAGTAACTCATTAAGGACACTGGATAAGATTTACAATTTATCACAAAACTGACTAAAGTTTAAAACGTCAGCTATCAAACTTCAACTTAGTGACTCGAAAATAGAGATATAAAGTCCTCGGGTTTTTATTCAGTGTGGGTCAGTCAGTTAGTAACCTGAAGCATATTTGCGTAGGTTCAAGTGGCTACATCATATCAACACAGAAATATAACATCCAAACATACCACAGAGTAATGAAAGTAGGAAACATAACAGTAGTAGCAGAAAATGTTAACCATAAATAGTATGGTTTGAGAAGAAAGAGTTAATTCGTGAATTAAACTTATGAGTGTTTAAAGTAAAACAATGCACTTGTGCGATTGTGGACGATCCCGAATCATGCCACTCACAGTCATTACCCATTGATTTCGATAATCAAATGGACCTCACTCAGTTAGTCTGCACCGATTTACATTGCTCAGTTCGAATGTCTATGACTTCATGGACTGATTCTACTCCTCGAATAGACATACCCTGGCTTTCTCCCAGTAAATACTCGTTTTTTGTTTGTAGATGGACGTTCCACCCAAGCGACAAGTGATGAAATTCGGTAAAAGTCAATCCAGCATTTTGAATTCTTGCGGTCTCCGTCAGACTCCAACCCACCAGAGCTGATGAGACTACAAAGATAATTAGATACTTTCGATACTTTACTCTATATCGCTAGTTCTAGTGTTGACTCGGATCAGTCCTGAAGCAACATTTTGCATGTTTCAAACGTGCTTTCATTGTTAACCAAGGCTGTCGACAGACTGAATTTTGCTAGCATCTTTACCAAACATGATTGTATCATTTTCAAGTTCCAAGCCAGCAAATGAATCACCAAGTGGAAGTTTGATTTCTTCTCATTAAGATTCGGAAGGCTTACGTTTACATGCTATTCGCGTTCCTTGATAAATATATGCAACCAAAGGCTTTTTGAGGAGCAGTTAATCCGTCATGCCCATTTTTTCAGCCTCTTTGGCGAGAGTGGGTTGTAGTTTCATCTTTTTCAGGTCTCACTAAACTCGGAATTTTTAATGTCTCTTTCCATGAAACGTCTGAAACATTTGTCCACTATTGCCTTCCAGTGTTGCCTCTTTTTATCGCTTTTGCGCCAGCTGCCCACCACTATTCACGATTATTGCATATCAGTCTATGTCTAAATTGCTTTCACTCCTCATCATCATCCAAAAGCAGTGGGATGAATTTCCGAGTATATATCATTTCAGCAGATGTTACTGATGCTTTCTCCGGACCTTTTAATTGTAATTACCCGGAGACATCATTGCTGTTTACACTGTTCTGATGTTCAAGGGTATCATGCCAAATCACATTGCGGTGAACAAAACCTTGATGATTGTCTAACTGATTCTCTATTCGTTTCCGAAACTATTTGTTCGTTAACTTGAACCTTTATGTAACTTTTTTATTTACATCCATCTTTGGGTTGATCGTGAGGGTCTCCATGTCAGACGATATTTCTTCTTAGACATAAAGTTGGTGGGAGTCAAGAAGAAACAGTGGTTTCAGAAAAGTTGCAACAGATGGTCGCCGTTGTCCGTTCATTGACTTGAGACAGTTTAAGATTCTTCTAGGTCTCTAATATTTTTATTTAAACTACCCACTAGGGGATTCAAATCTCCTTGTACTATTACGAAATCCGAGTAATCAGCATTTTATGAAACATCAGAGGGCTTCCTGTAAAATCAATCCTTTACTTCCCCACAACTACAGTCAATGGGAAGACAGGCAGAGATTACAACGATACATTGGCATTCGTCCTTTCTTTCCATGTTTTTACTTCCCATTCAGTCAGATCGTCAAGAAATGATTGCATATTGAAGTGCAGTCTAAGAGAGTGTTTTCTCCCTTTGAACTTGATTCTGTACCTGAACCAGAAAGATGAAGAAAGGTTTTAGTCGTCTTTAGATACACGAAAGGTAAATCTCACCGGCCATTTGTATTGACTAGATGAAGTTAAATGAATGACTGTGCTCAGAACCTGTATGTGTGCTCCAGAGACATAGCATACATCGATGACACGGGATTCCATAGTTCTAGCTAATGAAGGCTGTCATCTTCTTTGGCATTAGGTTTTAACATTGAAATCCTCAACATTTCGTTTAGAGAGCACTTTCAAGAAACTAGGAATAACATTTCGTGGACTCCAATAAATAGAATAGATGGCACATGGGAATAAGTCTATAAGTAGAGAATTGATAGTGGGGTAAGAATAATAAGTAGTGGTTTAAGGGTTTCATCATAAGTAAAGAGATTTCTGTTATTGTTAGGGATATGACAGTAATTGTCACTTCCTGGTTCCACATATCGTGGAAAGGTATTTCCCCTTGGGGAACCTGGGAGGAAAAGTAGATTAGTGGTGATCTTAGTGACCTGGAGTTTGACTTCAGAGCCAAGATATGACTACTTGAGGCCGATCACACATTATGTTTCTGTGAGAAATTCCTAATGTGTTAGCTCTGTGTTTCAAAAATCTTTCCTTTCGAAGACGAAGATCATTAGGACAGAATGAGATGTGATATATTCCCGATTACTCCAGTATATTTTGAGAAGGCTACATCACTCAGATGCTGGTTGCCTAGTCGAAACAACTTAATGCCATCACGCTTAAGTATGCAGTCCATCTACTTTAGCCTCATCGTTACCGAACTAATCTGCCTTGAGGAAAGGTCAATCGACTGAGTCATTATGGTAGGCGAGTCCAATCACCAAGTCAAGATAGAATCTACTGTCGAATTAGTATTTCAGAAATTCTCTAGTTAATTAGTGGCAATATGGAACCACCATTTATAACTATCCGTGGATATATATCTAAGCAGTTTGAGCGGTTCAACAAGCCGTAACTTATTGAATCTATGGGAAGTCCATTTTGAATATAGACACCAATATGTACGTAATTGTCGTATACCTAAGAGCCTGAATTATGTGATTGACTACTTAAATTTCTAATAAGCGCTATCAAATCATATTTTTAAAGGCCCTCCACTAAGTAATAGGTGTTTATTTTAACTCATTGATTTATGCACTTGTCTGATGGATTCAGAAGGTAAATAGCTACTTAACATTTTGCATCTGAAATAAGATTCAGATAGAATGGTTTAATGAAACATATAACTATAACATAATTATTTTAAAAATTCTGACTGTACAGTTACTTTTTTTTTAACTCTTCTTAGTCAGGCAGCTTCATTATTCGTCTTATTCTTCATTACATGAGTACATTATTTGATCTTAATCAAAATAATCTTAACCCTTATAAATTAAAGAGTATTAATTATGAATATTGATTAATTTAATAAATAACTTTTTTTTATTTTATCATCGTATATAATGGATAATAACGAATGAGAGCGGGTTCGTGGATGCGCACTGCTGAGGAGTCCCATAATAGGACGAAACGGCCATCGAGTGCTTCCAGGTTTTCGATGGTGGTCTAGCTTCAATTGACTCATGATTTCAGCTGTGAAAATACTAAGTTCTCCACAAAACCCCCTCTGATCAATAATGAATAAGATTAGTTTTTTACATTAAAAACTATTTCTACTTTCTGTTCACTATTTACACAAATTTACACAAGGACTTACGTGTGTACTGACGAATATCTTATTCTTACTGATTATTTATAAATCAAAAAAACTATTTGATTTTATTTCATTCTTGTTATACTAACTGGATTTTGTTCTTTGCCTCTCTCTCACTCACTCTCTGTCTCTCTATATGTCTTCCTCTATTTCATACTTGAAATATTCTAGTTGACAGACTCAAATCTGATTTAATCATAATGTTAATGATAATTGTGTTTTCAACTATAATCTATTGTATATTATCATTGTGATTGTTATTATTTCTTAATTAGTAATATAAAAAGATACCGAGTCAATAGATCATGGGATTGAAATATTATCTACACTCTGTGTGTATATTTACTTATATACAGTTCAACAACATTTTATTGGATATTTATCAACAATATGTAGATAGATAGATAGATACGAAGAAACTATAAAACAGTCATTAAAACCCAATGAGAAACCGAAAGAATAAGGTTAAGAAATGTTAACGGATAACAAATTCACTGTCGATACAAAGTCCGAAAACTGTATTTTTAGCTAAAAATGATGGTACGGTTCAGACAGCTCTGTTTATTTTACTTTGTAAATAATTGCTCCTTCACAAGCATATTTAAAGCATAAAGAAATGCCCATTATATAAAATTATATTTGTCAGACGGGTTCAAAATTCATATTATATAAATAACAAAAGAGAAAGGCGCTCGAGTCAAGAAATCAACCTCTCTATTATTTTTCTGTTTTCATTTCACATACTTCTTCATTTAGTGTTCTGTAACTTTTATCCGTTGTATTTTTGAGTATTTTTAACACTCAAAGAAATGTGTCTTCATTATATTTGATTTTATATTCGTAAGTGTATGTAATAGTAAAGCCTATACAGGATCTATTTTAAAATATTATTGTTTGCATATTTATGTATTTAAATGATAACTAAAATCATACGTTTTATCCGTGATATCATTTATATGGATTTCAGATATCAAAGACCCAGTTACCTATAAGACTGCTTACAAGTTAACGACAGTATTTTCAAATTAATTAATTATGGAACACGTTTAATGCCTTTTTTGATGATGTGATCTTCTCTGAGCTAGATGACAAATTTGCTCCATAACACATAGATGTAGGTTTTGATGATATTTTTCACAATCAGAATCAAAGATGAGCAATTAAACTGTTCAAATGACCGAACACAAAATAATCGAAAAACATCTGTCTGTACTTCGAGGTAACATGTATTTTTAGGTCGACTCTAACATCAATTAATGTAGTAATTCAATGCCCCCAAATACCCTGGTACGGCCGACAGTGGGGAGAGTCCGCTCTCCTTCTCCAAATGCTCTCACATAGCCACGCATATATAGCCTCTGCCAGGGAAGTCTTACTCACTGCCTTCTCAGCGCGTGGGTGTTATTCACGAAAGTGAGAGGACGAAAAGCGAATGATCGGCACCTTAACCGGGTTGGTGGACACGGAGCGTCCAACTAGGGGAGTTGGAAAACCCTGATTCCAAACCAATAGTGTACATGGTCTCCAGTATCCTGAGAGAACAATTGGCGTATGAACCAATTGTTGGTCACAGGCTACCATGGGACTGCATCTCCTTACGATGCTCCACTGCCTTGTGTGTTAGACCTTTAGATCAAAGGCTCGGGGTGTAGCCCCCTAAGAAAACCACCTGCTTCAGTTTGGGCACCTGGATAGTATTACAGCCCTCACACAAATAAATGAAAGGATGACTTGAACTGACAATCCTATTTACGTACTTACTATATGCCAGACAATTTGCATTATTATTATTATTATCATTATTATTATTATTATTATCATTATTATTATTATTATTGTTATTATTATTTGCCATATCGCTTATTCACTACCTTTTATTCCCAATTTGTGTACCCTTACTTTTCAGCTTATGCAGCAGCTCGCTCATGGTGGAAACTCCTATCTATGTAAACGATCTCTAGTCTCTATCTGGTCAAAAGTGAATGCTTACACCGATTACGAATACTGAAACAGTCTTCCTGAAACCACGTATACCATTCAAACTGGCTTCCTTCAACGTTTTCACACTAATGCAGATCGGACAACAGATAGGGCTGGCCATATCTTTATAAAGTTTTAATATCAACTTCTGTTGTCTATCCGCTACCAGTACTAGAGACTCTAAAGAATTACTACAAATTCGCTCTCCATCTGTCACTTCGAAAAGCTTGTTCCACGTGCGCTTATCCGGGGACCCTGTGGCATCTTCGTCTGGTCTTGCTGACGTTGGTGTCGCACTAAGCGCTAGGGCTGAGGCAGCACTAATCGATTGGTTCCCCATTAACAGTCAGTTATATGCTGTTAGACTAGAAAGTTCTATCAAAGTGAGAAGAAATCGACGTGAGAAATGGTGTCTTTTTGTCATCTCCGCCTATGCGCCGACAGATTGCAGACCGGATGCAATCAAGGATGAGTTTTACCAGCATTTAACAGTTCTTCTCCAGAAAGCGCGTTCGACAGATATTGTAGTACTAGCCGGAGACTTGAATGCACAGGTCAGGCGTCTAGGCACAGAAGAGAGTCGTTTAGGTGGCCGATGGGGACTTGTTGGTTGCACGACAGATAACGGGGACCGTTTGCTGCAACTGTGCACAGACCACAACCTGTTTCTGGCCAGCACTAACTTCTGGCACAGTGATCGCCGGTGTGCCACCTGGCGTCCTCCCTCTGCATCCCAAGCCTGAACTCAGATTGATCACATCGCGATCAGCTACCGCTGGCGTGGTTGTGTACAAGACTACCACTCCTTTTGGAGTACCTATCTAAACTCTGATCATGCTTTGGTCTGCGCCAATCTCACCTTACTTCTCAGTGGCAGAAGGATTGACCGCCATCAACGGATCGATGTTAGTAAACTGGCTGCAACTTCTGTTGCAAGTAAATATCGAGCGGAGCTAGCCTCTAGGCTAGCTACCATCCCACCGAAAAGTACAGACGAGCATTGGTTTCAACTGCATGAGGCCATGAAGATGGCGAGTAAAGTCGCTTGCGGCTTTGTGAAACGTCCCGCTTATAAGCACTGGGTTTCTTCTGACTCCTTACATCTGCTCTAAGCCCGTCGGTCTACTCCGGGTGACCGCGACTATGACCACAAACGAAGGCTGTTACATAATGAAATTTGGCAAAGCTTGCGTAAGGACCGGGAAGCCTGGTGGTCGGAGCGTGCTAATGAGATGGAAGCAGCAGCTGCATCTGGTAACTGCCGGAAGCTCTCCCAACTCATCCGAGCCACTGGCAGCAAGAAGTCTGGTGTGAGTGAAACAATCTACGAGGATGACGGGATGCCAATCACTAACATCTCCCGACGTCTTGGACGATGGGCGGAATTTTTCGAAGGGCAGTTCAACTGGCCTGCTGCTCCGGCAACATCAACCAGCTTGTCCTGCCCCCCATGGCCGGTGACGACTGTTCCACCAAACGAGGCGGAAGTCCGCAAGGAACTCTAACTCTTGAAACGCTAAAAATCACCTGGCTCTTTTTTAAGATGGTGGTGACCTTCTGACTAAGGAATTGACTGTGTTGTTTGCAAAGGTTTGGGAGGAAGAAAGTGTTCCAACATCATGGAATGAGTCGATGGTCGTCCCTATCTTTAAAAAGGGTTCACGTTGTTCCTGCAATAACTATCGGGGGATAAGTCTACTTTCGATTGCGTCCAAACTATTGGTTTCTGACATTCTTCGTAGGTTGTTTAAAACCCGAGAACGATTGACTCGCAAGGAGCAGGCTCGTTTTCGTTCTGGTCGAGGATGCATTGATCATATCCTCACCCACCGTCAAATGTTAGAACACCGTCATCCTTGTCACAGACCAACAATCGTAGTGTTTCTTGATATCAGGGCTGCCTTCGATTCGTTGGACAGGACTGTTCTCTGGGATTGTCTATTGAAGAAGGGTGTGCCTGAGAAGTCCATTAACATCTTAAAGGCCCTGTATACGAACACCTCAGGCAGACTGATGGCATACAACCACCTTTCTCTCTTGTTCCATTCGAGCAGTGGGGTTAGGCAGGGTTGCCCAATCTCACCATTCCTCTTCAACTTTGCCATCGACGACATTCTGGAAACAGATCTGATGGATGTAAGTAATGGCGGTGTGGATCTGCTGCGTGGGGAAAGACTTCTCGACCTTGAGTATGCGGATGATATTCTCTTACTGTGCGATAATGCCCAAGGCATGCAATCCGCACTTAATCAGTTGGCAATCAGTGTCCTCAGGTACGGCATGTGCTTTGCACCCTCCAAGTGCAAAGTACTCCTACAAGACTGGCAGGATTCTCATCCTGTACTCACCCTGGATGGTGAGGAGATCGAAGTAGTTGAGAAGTTCGTGTATCTAGGTAGCTACATAAGTGCTGGTGGTGACGTGAGTGATGAGTTTGATGCACGTATAATGAAAGCCGGAGCGGCTTATGCCAATCTGGGCCATCTTTGGCGCCTTCGTGATGTTAGTCTGGCTGTAAAAAGTCGGATTTACAACGCGTCGGTGAGAGCAGTTTTGCTCTATGCTTGTGAAACCTGGCCTCTCCGAGTTGAGGATGTTAAACGACTCCTTGTGCTTGATCATCGTTGTCTCCGAAGGATCGCTGACATCCAGTGGCAACACCATGTTGGTAATGCAGAGGTCCGGCATCGTGTGTTCGAGTGCAGAGACGATACTTCATTTGGTGTCACCATCTTGAAACACTGACTTCGGTGGCTTGGATATGTTCTACGTATGTCGTCCCACAGAATTCCACGTTGTGAATTTTTTGCCGATGCTGGAACTGGTTGGAAAAAGCGGAGAGGTGGTCAGTGTATGACATGGTGTCGTGGTATGAAAGGAAGCTGCAAAGGGCTAGCTTCTGTTGGTCCTTCACGACTCCCTGGTTGTGGTTCGAGAGATGGTGCAACACAGTGGCTAGAGACGTTATCAGATATGGCTCAGAATAGAAGCCAGTGGCGAGCCTGCTGTAACCTTCTTTTATTTTCTTTATAAAGAATGGCTGTAACTTTCTTAACTGCGAGAGCTCTTCTGGTTGTACATTTCAGTTCCCCCATCATTACTCTTCTCTCCTTTTTTAATTTTTTTTATCGTTTATTCTTCCTTATGTATACGCATATGTATCTGCTGCCCCTTTGTATCAATATGTATGTGTTTAAATAAATCAATAAATAAATAATAGTAATTCAATTAGTCCTGTCTTTAACTGGAATACCGGATCTATTGGCATCACGGACGGATATGTTTATAGACAAATGCCTAGTATTGATTGAAAGAAATGAATTTCGGTATGATCTAGGTAGTTGATCTTTGAAGTATCAATTTGGTGCTTTAAGGTTTTTACTTGGATTGAAAAGAAGAGTTGTTTGATCGTGATATTGGCTAGTTTATACAGTGAATTTTCTAGTTAAGAGAACAAAAGTATCACGCGTAAGGTTTTTTGAAAATCTTTTGATAAAATTGACAGGTAATATGTGGTTACCAGTATATATATTGTGTAATAAAGATGCGTATGAAATTAGTTCATCAATGGAATATTGTATATGAAGTGCATATTTTCAAATCAATTCGTATGAAATAAATCGTTAAAAATAGATATTTTCAATGGATCAAAAAGGAAGGTAAACAGGCTTGCATTATACAAGAACACGTTTATTTGAATATATATAGGCTGACTGTTTACAAATAGGTTAGTATAAAAAAAATGAAAACCTTTATTGTCAACATCAAGCGCTTTTTTTCTTTCTTTGCAAATCACTTCTTTTATTATTCTTAAATGAAAGGGAGCACAAAAGATGAGAACGCATAAACATCCATTCCTTGAAGTTACTTTGAAACTTATAAAATAATTTCATTTCAGTTTATGTAGTTGATTATAGTATTATTCATTGGCATAAGTTATTCTATCTTATTAAACAATTCAATTCACTGCTTGATTAGTTAAATATAACCATAAAACCATAAATTATTGGAAGCCTGGTTATCCTAAAATATATAAAACTTTTGTTGATTGGAATTATAGTTTAAGTTTTCTATTTTATCAGTTCAATAATTTATTAAACATTTTCAAAGTTATCTTTAAGCTGAAAAATGTCTATCTAAATGGTGAATCGGTAAACCTTGATAACCAAATAAACAAAATTCTTAATGTAATCTACAGAATTTATTTAATATCCAAACACACTATAAGACACTATAACAGATGATAACTGGCAATGTTTTAGTGAAATAGACTGATATAAA